TCCCAGACCCTGTCCCACTCCCAGCCCTCATCATTTGCTTCCCCATTATTGCCCCAGCATCCCCTTGCTGACTTCGTCTCAGCTTGGCTGGGCCCAGCCACCTCATCTCTCACGCCCCACACCCATCCCTCTCTCATTTGCTCCCCCATTATTGCCCCAGCATCCCTTGCTGACTTCGTCTCAGCTTGGCTGGGCCCCACACCCATCCCTCTTGACTGGTCTTCCTATTCCGGTCTCTCTCCTCATTCTGGTCACCCCCACCCCCACCCCCACCCCGACCCTCCAGGATCACCCACTTCCCCACTTCAGGTCTCAGGACTCCTTTCTCCCGCCCCCATGGCATGGCCCCTGCTGGACCCTCTCCCCACGGGTGCTCACCGGGTGAAACGGACGCCGCAGACCTCACAGGCGAAGGGCTTCTCGCCCGTGTGGGTCCTCATGTGGCGCGGCAGTTTGCCTGCCCCGTGGATGATCTTGTGGCAGACGGGGCACTCCTGGGGCATCTGGGAGCGGCGCTTGCGTACTCCCAGTTTGTCTTGGCCATCCAGGCCTGGCGCCAGGGCGTCCTGGTGCAGGGAGCTGAGGTAGGCCATCAGGTCGGGATCGATGGCGTCCTCATCCGAGCCCAGCTCCTCTGGGGAGAGCGGGGGCCCCCCGACCTGTGCCAGCCTGTAGGCCGGGGGGTACACCAGCTCCTCCTCCTCTTCCTCTCCTTCAAAGGGCTCATAGTTCATGGGCCCCTCCGGGGGTGAGGCAGTCCCTGTGGGAGGACTGTAACTGTCCCCCAGCCCACTGCCCCCACTGCTGCCCACTCTGCCGGCCACCTCCTCCTCCTCATAGGTCAACGGATGGGTGGGTACTGCGGGCACCTCAGGTACTAGGTGGTTCGCCCGGGACCCCTTGGTCTGCAGGAAAGCTTTGCGGGGCTTGCGGCTACGGCGGGCGACAGGCCGAGGGGGCGGTGGTGGAGGCGCCTGTGGAGGGCTGTCTCCACCATTGGGAACTCCCGAGGCTGAGGCCGTGGCAGTGGCAAAGGCCTCCAGGTACTGGCGGGCTCGCTCGCAGTCGTCCTCGTCGGGGCTCGGAGCTTCTAGCCCGCTGCCCTGCAGGATCTCCATGCAGGCGGCGATGACACAGGGGATCTCCAGCAGCTGGGCGGCCTGCAGCACGGCTGGCATGTTGGCGCTGCTGGTGGTCAGCGTGGCTGTATAGGCAAACTCGAGCAGGGCTCCCAGAGCCTCGGGCCCCACGAAGTCCAGCTCGCACACACCTGCCCCTGCTCCCCCCACGGCTGTCCCGCCGCCACCCCCAGCCCCCATGACGGCGCCACCGCCCTCGGTGAAGAGCTTCTTGAAGTAGTGGCTGCAGGCAGCCAGCACGGCCCGGTGGGTGCGGTACTCAAGGCCCTGCGTCCGGATGGTGAGGTCGCACAGGTGGCCCAGCTGGCGCTGCTCGTTGAGGCAGCTCAGGAGCTCACTGCTGTGGTCGGGGAACGGAATCCCAATGAGGTCGTCCTCGGGGCTCCCCATCTTCTCCTGCAGGGTCAAGGAGAGGGCAGGTTAAGAGCGCTCAGCCTTGCCGGGGACCCCGGAAAGGAGACCCAACACCAGCCAAGGCTTATTGGCGGGTACTACGTGCCAGATACCCTTCCACAATCCCTGGAGGGACAACGGTCCATTTCACAGACAAGGAACCTGAGGCACAGGCAGGGGAAGTGACTTCCCAGGTGAAGCAGGACAGGGTCCAAGCAGAGGCGGAGGGCCCGGAGTCTGTGTTGCTCACGGTTCAGCCTCTGTGGGAGCAGAGGCCTGACTTTCGGGCCCCTCCCTGGGATCCATCCGCGTCACCTGCCCCACTCCCCAGCCCCGGGAAAAGCACTGGGTGCGAGAGAGGGGGCCTGGGGCCTGATTCGGGCTTCATGAAGAAGTGGCTGAAGGACGCTGGGTGGCTATGGCGCCGGCCTCAGTCATCTGAAAAGTGTGATGGAGCCCTTCAGCAGCCTAGAGAGATTCACATTGGACCAAGGTCTGCTGGAGGCCCCTCAGTTGTTTTAACTGGTTATCTCCCTGAAGCAGGAGTGGGGAACCTTTTTTCTGCCAAGGGCCATTTGGATATTTATAACATCATTCTCAGGGCCACACAAAATGATCAACTTAAAAAGTAGCCTGCTATATTTGGTCAAACATTTCATTAACTCACCCCTCATGCCTTGGTAGGGTCAGACCCAACGATTTTGCGATTTTGCGGGCCTTATGCGGCCCGAGGGCCCCCCACCCTGCCCTAAAGCATTTGGTGCACAGTAAAGCTTCCCAACACCCCCCTCCCTCTCCCCTCCCCCTCCACTCAAAATGCATCTCCCCTTCTATGTCCCCTCTTCTAAAGGCCAAAAGGAAAACAGCTCCCAGCATCCCGTGCTTCCCCCCCCACACACACACATCCTTCCCTCCCCCATGGGGCCAAGGAGCAGCAGTGCTTTGCTGGGGTGTCGCTGGCTCGGGTGCTTCCTGCCCCGCAGATAAGCATCGTCCCCGCCCCTCCCCCACTGCCAATAGGCCAAGTTCCAGTCCCACCCCTCTCCACCTCTGCTACCACCACCACCATCACCGCTCCCTCTCCATTCTGGCCAGTCAGGAGAGCCTCCCCCCACCTAGAGGGCCATCTCCCAACCTCTAGGCTTTCCCCCACCAGGCACGGCCACAGAAGACAGAGTCAGCTGCCAGCAATCCCAAGGCTGGGGCAGGTAGGGGAACGGGTGGTGGAGAGTCTGGCCTGGAAGTGTGGAGATCTGCTTCAGGTCTTGGCTCCGCTACTGGCTGCGGAATGAGCTTGGGCAAGTCATTTCTCCCCGTGCGTTAATCTCCTTAGCTATACCGGGAGCGGGTGGGAGGGGGGGCCCTGAGGGCTCAGCCCTTCAGCCCTGACGTTGGGTGGATCTGAAGACAGAGTTGGGGCCTGGAAAGAGCTGGGCTCTGGAGTCAGCCAGGCTTGAGTTTGAATCCTCACTCCGCACTGATTAGCTCTGTGACCTTCAACAAGTGATTTCATCTCTGAATCTCCTTCCTCATCTATAACGTGGCTCCTAGGATGGTGGTGACTAGGTTAGATGAGACCAAGTGTGGCGCAGTGCCTGACACACAGCAGGGGCTCAATAAAGGCTCTGGCCTTGGGAGGGAGAAGCCAGGCCTCGCCTGAGGGCAGATTCCACTGCGCAGACGGCCTGCCTGGGAAAGCTAGTTGGAGACAGGTCTGGCTCCCTCCCTCAGTCACCCCCAGGGAGTCAAGTTACTACCAGCGACATGACCTTGGACAAGTCACTTCCCTTCCCGGGGAGGCCTGCTTCCTGGGCTGCATGAAGGACTTGCCTAGATGATCTTTTTCCTATGTCACTCCCAATAGCTGCTCAGCCCGGGCCAGGGATGGGGAAAGGTGTTTGGGGGGGAGGAGCTGGTGGAGTCAAGGGCCACCCGTTTCCTCTCTAAGACATAAGAACTGCATTGTCTGTGCCTGCCTCCCTGCCTGGCACCTCCACGGCGATGCCAAAACTGCACCGAAGCTCTGAGTGGGTAGCGCCCACGTGTCTATCTTGGCTCCTAAGCCACACCTAAGTGGCCTTAGAACAGTCCACCCATTCCCACCCTAAATCCCCAAATCACTTCTCTCCCTCGAGGCCAAACCGTGTGGGAGCTCTCCCAGTTCCCTTGGGCTCTCCTGCCTGAACATTACAAACAGTACAAGTGACGAATGGCTCCAGGACTCAGGAACAAACAAAAACCCAGTAGGCAGAAGCAGCCGCGGCCACTTAAGCAGTAGTGGCCACCCTCCTGGGCCCAAGCAGATCCTGTCCTTCCAGAGGGGGATGGGTGTGGCTGTCCTCGTTGTCCATTGGCCGGGAGCTGGACACCCACAGGCACGTGGCTCATCCCATCCCTCTCCCTCCCTCCCTCCCTCCCAC